ATGCTGACTGTACTTCTTCCAAGACGGATTTGCTTGTTCTTCCGACAGTTCCTGGTATGCTCCGCATTCTTCACCAGCACCACCGGTCCAAGCCATAAACTCACCTTCGGTCTTTCTGTATTCCTTGACCAGCTTTCGCATGCATACGAGGTGACTGAAAATAACACGGCTGTGCGCGAGTGCCATCCTTGTTCTTGGAAGAGGCTTTTTGCAGCACACTCGCCAATGCAATATGTGGTTGGATTTCTTGGTGGCTACTTCATGGGTGCTGACGTTAGATCTCAGTAAAATGAGATCCTTGACCATGTCGGTATTTTATCTCTTTATCTTTTGTCAGAAGGAGACCTTGTGGTTTGATGGGTTAAAAGCTGATCTGCTAACCTAGTTGGAAGTCATCTGCTGCTTCTCGGGAGAACGATGAGCAGCTTGTTTCCATAAAGAGCCCTGGAACCCTATGCAGTCACTATAGTCTGTCCTATAGGGTGGCTATCAGTTAGAATCAAGTAGACAGCAATGAGTTCATCACTGCTTCTCGTTTCACAACAACATGCAAGTCACCACAGTCGGAAAAACGGACAGGCTAAATATCCTTTGTCTAAGAATTATCTTAAGCACACCCAGCTGTTCCAAAACCTGGCACTGGATCCAGACCACTCCCCTGAACGGTGAGGGTGGTTTCTTCTGTCATGAGAAGGAACAGAGGGGGGAAATGGGTGTGCACAGCTCAGAGGAAATGACAATATGCGAAACCAGTTTTCTGTTTCGCTTTTTAAATCCAGACTGACAACAATACTAGTTTTGTGAATAGTATTTACAGTGTCCTTTTTCTTTTTCTTTCAGTTGCCACCGAGCCCGGCGCCAAACTCATGATGATCCCACGAGTGGTAGACCAGAACTGTGCTCCGCGGGGTTTTCAAGGGCTGGTTTTCCATAAGTCGATGGTCCACCTGACTTTTCTTCCCAGGGGCTGCTGGGTAGACTCGAACCTGCAGCCTTGCAATTAGTAGGTAAGCATGTCAATGTTTGCACCACCTCAGGACTCCACAGCATACACAGCGGTCAACACTTACCCTGCTATGTCACCAGAGGCAC